TTTTTTAAATAAATAAATAATACACCATGTCCAACTGGGATTTATCTCTGGAATGCAAAGATGGTTCAACAAACACAAATCAATAAATGTAATATACCACATTAACAAAATGAAGGATAAAAATCATATCACCTCGATAGAAAAGCATGTGACAAAATTCAACATGCTTTCATGATAAAAACTCTCAACAAACTAGGTATAGAAGGAATGTACCTCAACATGATAAAAGTCATATATGATAGGCCCACAGCCAACATCATACTCAATGGTGAAAAGCTGAAAGTCTTTTGGCTAAGATCAGGAACAAGACAAGGATGACCCCTCTTGCCACTTCTATTCAGCATAGTACTGGAAATCCTAGCCAGAGTAATTGGGCAAGAAAAAGAAATAAAAAGCATGCAAATGGGAAAAGAAGAAATAAAACTGTCTCTATTTGTGAATGACATAATCTTTTACACAGAAAACCCAAAGACTGCACCCAAAGCCTGTTAGAATAAATGAATTCAATAAAGTTGCAGGATACAAAATCAACATACAAAAATCAGCTGCATTTTTATATATTAACAATGAACTATGAAAAAAAAAAGAAATTAAGAAACAATCTCTTTTACAATAGCTTCAAAAAGAATAAAATGCTTAGGAATAAATGTAACCAAAGAGGTGAAAGATCTATACACTGAGAATTATAAAACACTGATGAAAGAAATTAAAGATACAAATAAATGGAAAAATATCCTTGTTCATAGATTGGAAGAATTAATATTCTTAAAGTCTCCATATGACCCAACACAATCTACAGATTCAAATACCAAGGGCATTTTTCACAGAAGTAGAAAAACAATCCTAAAATTAACACAGAACCATGAAAGACCCTGAATAGCCAAGGCATTCTTGAGCAAGAAGAACAAAACTGGGAACATCACACTTCCTGATTTCAAATTATATTACAAAGCTATAGTAATCAAAACATTATAGACCAACAGAACTGAATAGACAGCACAGAAATAAACCCATAAATATAAGATCAACTAACCTTGACAAGGGGGCCTTTGCAGGGGCTAGGGTAAGGAGGAAATGGGGAAATGATGGTTAAAAGTGATGGTATAAAGTTTCAGTTATTGAGATGAATAAGTCCTGGAGACCCACCATACAGCAGCCTATGGCTAACAATACTGTAATGTGCAGTAGTTCTTCCTTATCCATGAGGGATACATTCCAAGACCCCTAGCAGATACCTTAAACTGCAGATAGTACTGAACCCTATAAATACTACTTTTTTGTGTACATACCTATGATAAAGTTTAATTTATAAATTAGGCACAGTAAGAGATTAACAAGAATAGCTAATAATAGGGGCGCCTGGGTGGCTCAGTTGGTTAAGCGTCTGCCTTCGGCTCAGGTCATGATCTCAGGGTCCTGGGATCGAGCCCCACATCGGGCTCCCTGCTCAGCGGGAAGCCTGCTTCTCCCTCTCCCACTCCCCCTGCTTGTGTTCCCTCTCTTGCTGCGTCTCTCTCTGTCAAATAAATAAATAAAATCTTTAAAAAAAAAAAAAAGAATAGCTAATAATAAAATAGAACAATTATAACAATATACTGTAATAAAAGTTATGTGAATGTCATCTCTCTCAAAATTTCTTACTGTACTATACCTTCTTCTTGTAATGATGTGAGATGATAAAATGCCTATGTGATAAGATGAAGTGAGGTGAATGACGTAGGCATTGTGACTTAGCATGATGCTACTACTGACCTTCTGAAGATACATCAGAAGGAGCATCATCTACTTCCAGACTGCAGTGGACTGTGGGTAACTGAAACCGCAGAAAGAGAAACCATGGATAAGGGGGGACTACTGTACACTTAAAATATGCTAAGAGGATAAATCTTATGTTAAGTGTTCTTACCACACACACAAATGATAATAATAATAAAGGGATAGGAGGAAACTTAGGTGATGGATATATTTATGACTTTGATGATGGTAATGGTTTTATGGTGTATACTTATCCTGAACCCATCAAATTGTATCCGAGAAATATGTACAGCTTTTTACATGTCAATAATTCCTCAATAAAGTGTTTAAACATCATTTACTAAAAGGCACCAAAGCCCAAACCTCAGAAACATAATCATTACTGGGGCTCAAATCATATCTAGGGAATCCCACTACTTTTACACACTGTACTCCTATACTCAGATATAAAACAGAAAAATAGATATGCCTCATTTGAACTATAGCCTTGCCTAAATTTCCCAATGTCATAACACCCCAAAATATCCCATATTGGGCACAGATGCTCTAGCATGATGAATAATGCACTTAAAATCAATGTAGGTCTTTGACACAGATTGGGTTAATAAAATAGGATTCCACAGTCCCCTACCTCCGCCCCAGGAAAAATAGTTAATATCACCAATGTAAGTTAAAACAGGGCCTCCAGGGATTAAAACTTGTTATATAAAATCTAATAAATAGGGGTGCCTGGGTGGCTCAGTCATTAAGTGTCTGCCTTCGGCTCAGGTCATTATCTCAGGGTCCTGAGATCAAGCCCCTCATCGGGCTCCCTGCTCCACGGGAAGCCAGCTTCTCCCTCTCCCACTCCCCCTGCTTATGTTCCCTCTCTCGCTGTGTCTCTCTCTGTCAAGTAAATAAATAAAATCTTAAAAAAAAATCTAATAAATAAAAGGGTGATTATTCTCACTACTTCTCTCTCCTGCAACCTGATTGTGCCTGTTCTTGAATCTGGAAAAATTAAAGGGTACCTCCTGGTGGATTACTATAACCTTAATGTTGTGGTCCCATCCATAAGGACTCCATCTCCAACATCAACATTCAAATCACTGACTCAGTCAGTAATCTAGAACTCGGAACACAAGGTGCCATGGATCCGGACAAGTCATCCTGCCAGGGAGAGGACAAACAAGGTAAGGGGCATTAGGCTGACTGCAAGACTCCCGAATCCCAGACCACTCCCGAATGCCTGGAGCAGCAGGACTTAGGTCTTCTCCGGGCAGTGCGCACACAACTAAGGTCTACCACTGATGACACATATGCCAAGAAAATGGGAAAGTGCGCAGGACCCGTGGTCTAGCTGTGGAAAGGGCAGAGCTTCCTGTGAAGTAAAAGAGGAAAGACAAAAACCAGGACACTGGGGTGAGTGTGAAGGCCTTACCCAATGAAGCTATGAGTGCCAAGTTCTCCAGCATCATGGTGCAGTTCAGGTGTCTCTGAGCCTCGTCAAGGAGCCCCCACTCCTCCCGGGAGAAGTACACAGCAATGTCCTCAAAGGTCACACAGCCCTGCCGTGATGGGGATAGATCATTCCTTGATCAGTTTCTTTTCTAGGACTCCAAGTTTCTTCACCCAGACATACATCCCCTGCTCACCCTCCTTCCAACGCCCCACCCTGGAGCCAGAGATACCTGCTCTCTTCTCAAGGTATCACGATTGTTGTGTGACTGCCCACAACAACAACAGGCATGTGGGCAGGGAGATGCCATCTAAACACTGAGCCTGGCATTAGGGCCTATGTCCTCATGTCAGGCAACTGGGGGTCCCCCGGATTGTGCCTTCGAGGCACAACCAAATGTGGGCTCACCCTTCCACCTTATGTCCTTAATGTCATGGCCCTAGGTCCTTCAGTTCATATTCTCTCTTCATGTAACTATTTCTACCATACCTCTCTCTCAGTCTCACTCTGTAAGCCACTTCTACCCTCCTACCCAGAAGCATCACCCTGTCCTCCCAACATGTTATCCACATACGGCATCCAGGTGGTATTTGGCAAATTCAAACAGGATCCAGTACTACCCCAGACTTCCAATGGTCCCCACTGCCAGAGGGGACGAAACCTGCTTGAAGGCCTCCCTGCTTAGTTCTCAGTTCAATCCCAGCTACCAAGAACCACCTGCAGATCTCAGGACCCCATGGCTCTCTTCCACTTGTGGTGCACTTGAAGTTCCCTCATCAGCCACTGACTTCCTCTCCATCAAATCATCCTTCAGAGCCCAGCCCCGGAGGTCTTCCACCCCAGCCCCGGAGGTCTTCCACCCCAGCCCTGGAGGTCTTCCACCCCAGCCCCAGTGATGCTCCTAGATGGTGACTTGTGTCCCTGTGCTAATTTGCCAGCCTAACTGCAACACCTAAGATACACCAAGGGACACAATAAATTGCTGGTAAGTCCACAGCATGAATAAACACTAGTCTGGGCCTCGGTGTCATCTTGTCTCAATTACTCTTGTGACACATTCCTCTTATGTCTATGCTTCCTATGGATGCCTTGGCCACCTGACAGATTGTCCTCTCTCCCACAACCTTCCCAAAACCATTTCTCTCCCTCAGCTATGTTTATGAGGCCGAGCACCCCACCCAGATGCCCAGGCATGACACCCAATCCCGGCTCTTACCTTCCCCTTGCTGGGCAGCCAATACCTTTATTGTCCACGACCTTCTGAATGTCTCCCTACTGAACCCCTCCTCAGAGTTCCAGACCTGTGTGGCCATCTACTAATTGTTCTCCACACATTTTTCTTTGAAACATCTCCAAGTTTTAAGATAGTCAAAAACAGGGAGCCTGGGTGGCTCAGT